CGTTTGCAGGGGCGCCGTCTCGGAGGTCAGGACGCACGGCCGAGGGCAGGAGCCCGTCATGACCGGAAACAGGCTGTGCCGGAGTGTGGTTCCCCGGGCGGGGGACCCCGGGGCCTGCATTTGGGCTTCGCGGCAGTTTCAGGCTAGGGGATCGTGACGGAGGCCATCGCGCCTACAGATTCTTTTGAGAGACCCCAAGATAATAAAGGCAGGGCGGCGAGGGGCCGGGAGGGGCGCGGGCTGCGACAGGAGGAGGCGACGGGGAGGCGGAGAGGGCCTGGGTGCCTGCGGGCCGCGGAGCGATCGCGCACGCGCCCCGCCACCCGCAGCTGCGCGCGGGGTCCCGGCCAGGCCGTGGTGAGCTCGGTGGCCCCACGCGCTGTGCAGGCGGGTCTGACACCACTGAGCGTGTGAGCGGTGGCCAGTGGGTCTCATAAACCAGGTCAAAGAGGTGGAGAAACCCGGCTGTCCCCGGCCGGGACCCTGCCGGCTTGAGCCACAGTGTCCTCGGCCGTCACCCTGCCCCTTAGCGGAGGGCTGGGCCTCTTCCCCTCACAGCGGGAGCCGTCCGCCCCCTCTCCCCTGAGCGGAAGCCACCCACCATCTCCCAGAGGGCCCCACCTACACGGCAGGGTCTGGAGGGTGGGGGGAGACCCCAAATTAGGGCGATGCGCTCCACTAGCCGGTGCGGAGGGTCCCTTCCGCGCTGTCCCCACGAGGCTGGCGGCTGAGTAAGCAGTGTCGCAGGAGGGCGATGACTCTGCATGCAAAGACCACCGGCCCCTCCCCTGAAGCTCTAGCTCCCGCTCAGTCCTGGGGGAACTGGGCAGATCCAGGCCTCGGCCCTCGCGGGGGAGCGGGAAGGGGGCGGGGGGTTCCTCCCAGTCAGCGTGTGCTTGCTCCCCTGCCTCCTTACCCTGTTGTGGGGTGTCGGCACAACCATTCACACTGGCCCCACCCCAGGAACACTGCACCGCGGAGGGGGGGGGAGTACCGGAATGAGTGTGTAAGTATGAGCACGCGTGTGAGTGTGGGGGTCTGTGAGGAGTGTGTGAGCAGAGGTGATGGGGTCCTGAAGACATCCAAGGTGACCTCGGCTGCCCCTGCCTCCACGAGGGGGTCTGCGTGCTGAGGACTCCCTGCCCTCTACCTGGAGACCCCCAAACAAGGGGGTCTCATCCCTTCCTCCGCCAAGCAGGAGGCAGCAGGTCCGGGCTCAGCTGCCCCCCACACACGCAGGCTAAGAGCATCCCACAGGGCCACCCCAGTGCCAGCCTGCCATGTCCTGACACCGCTGACGTCCCCGTGGAGGAACTGTGGAGGACTGGCCCTGGCCACACGCCCTCTCCGTGGGGCCAGCTCCCCCTCCCCCTAGTGCTGGCTCCCTCCCTCCGCCTTGGGCTCACCGCCTCTACTTGGCTATAGGAGGCTCCTGCCTCTGGACACCCAATGCCCTGTCTGCCCAGCACAAGAGACTACACTCTCTCCAGCAGACACCGCCCCCTAGGTCCCCAAGCCCCTATCCTTTGTGCCATGGCCCAGAGACCTGCTGGCCTCTGTGGGTCCCCCCAACCAGGAGCCGAGTGGGGAAGAGCTGGCTCACCCACCGGCTAGGCCTTGCTGAAGCTGCTGGCCAGCTTTATGAGGTCCCTCCTGGAGACAGTGGGGGCTGAGGAGGAGGCAGAGGCTTCCCTGGATGGAGGAGGAGGCTTTGTATTTGCAGTGACATGAGCTCCGTGTGGATACTCTTCAGCAGAAGAGCTTTCGGGCCGGGAAGCAGGGGGCCGGAGGTCACAGGAGGACCAGCTGCGGCACCTTAAGGGCTGGGTAGCTCTGCATCCAGCCCCTGGTGCTGGGTACTTGGGGCAAGTTAAAGCCCCACGTCTGAGGAGGGTACATTGTATCCACATCCTCCATTGTATCCTTGTCAACACCCCGCTGTGAGTCTGGAGTTCTGCAAATGGTTATTTATTTAGCATCTGTGCATCACGGCACAGCTGCCTGTGAATCTATTACGTCGATTAAATTTTTGATTAAAAGGGCACCTACTTTGAAAACCCAGAGCTCCACCTGTGTGCACAGGTGTGATTCCTTCAGCTCCGAGGCTTCTCCTGAGAACACGTTTAATTAGTCTCGCCAGTCAGACTCTGCGTCCTGGCCGGGGTCCCCCAGCCCTGGGTGCTGCGACCCCCAGATCATCCCTAACTCTTTGGGCTTCAGGAAGTAAAGAAGAAAGTTTGTGCAAAGCACCTCAGACCTGGTCACCCATCATCTTCAACACCCTCCTGGGACACTGGTGCCAGGCGGGGCTGGGATGGGGCAGCCAGTGAGGGGTCGCCTGGAGAGAGAGTGAGCCCCCCAGTCTGCACCTTCTCCTGCTCCCCCACCCCCCACCATTATAGTCCATCTGGCAGTCATCTCGGGGTCATAGGTCAAAAGCTATTGGTCCTCTGATGATTCGATGCTGCCTCTGGGGAGGCACTACCTTCTCCCAAAGGGGGGGAAGAGATCGTTGGAAGAGAGAGGATGACAGGGGGCCCCTGTGACGCCCGAGAGTCAGCTGCTCAGGAGGGGACCGCGTGGGACCCGCCGTGGGCCCCGAGCTCGGTTTGCTGACGGGGTCCCGACGGCGAGGCCGGTCTGCAGCAGACCCCACCCAGGCCCCGCGAGGTCAGCCGTCGTCCACCTCGGCCTTCGCCCACTCCCTGTGGGGCTGGCGTGCACGGCCCTGCCCAGTGAGGACACGCCGGCTGACCGCAGCTCGCCCTGGCCGCCGCCCAAGGCCCGCCCTGCACTCTGCAGCCGGCTCACGGGCTCCAGGAGCCCATCCCGGCCACCCCACTGGACCGAGCCCCAAAGTTCCATCACTTTCTCAGACCCGGAGCCGACGGAACCGCCTCCTGAGCTCGTCCCCAGAGGAGCAGCCCGGCAACCTGGCCTGGGCTGGCCCCTCACCATCAACTAGTGACAGTGGACATGGCCGGGCCCCAGGGCTGATGTCAACTCCGCATAAATTGGGACAACTGCCTCTTCCCAGGCAGGATGGCGAGGGGATGTTTGGCCCCTCTACAACTCCTGGGCCCCACCCCGGACCCGCTCAACCGGACGCTGGGTGCAGGCAAGGCTGTCTGTGGGCACGCGAGCCCCCGGAGTGTGACAGCCACTGTTGTGGCCGCAGGTGGCCGCCGGGGGCCTGGGGGTGGCAGCCCACATCAGGAATCGGGGTGGGGGCAGCCCACATCAGGAATCGGGGTGGGGGGCAGCCCACATCAGGAATCGGGGTGGGGGGCAGCTCACATCAGGAATATGCCACCACGGGACGAGCGCATCTGGGAAAACAGGGTTCAATGCGAAGGGAGCGGCCCCCTCGAACGCGCCTGGAACCCGCGCCAGCCGCGTCCCCGACCCTCTGCGAGTCGGTCGCAGGCATGCCACCCAGCGGGGGAAACGACATGCCACCAGGAACCCCGTCTGGTCGCCAGGAGAACCCGCCCCAGTCCATCGCCCGACAGAAGCACTTGCGGGCGGCTTCTCGTGAGGAGGCTTCGCCCGCGCGGCCCAGCCAGCCCGAGCTCCGTCTGCCGCGGCAACCTGGCCGGGCCGCGTTGGCGAGGGTGACGCTCACCAAGGACTCCCAGGGGGTGGCGCAAAGGCTCCCCGCCCGGTCCGCAGAGCGGTCTCCAAAGGCGGCGTCTGCGGACCCCCTGAGCCACGTGCTTGTATCGACGGAGCTTTTGAGGGCGAAAGGGGACCAAGGCTGTGACGGTGTCCCTAAGTGTCCCTCCCTCCCTCCCTAGCATCACACCCAGGTGGACGACCCCCGTGGCATCCAGGAAACGCTGGGCTGTGTTTCCGGCACAACTGCGTCTGGCCTCTCTGATCCGTTTTCGGCCGAAGCCTCCCACACGGAGGCCGCCGGACACGGCAGGTCCTGGCCTCCAGGAGTGTTCCCTTCCCCAGGCTTCATGTGGGCCCTGGGCCTGAAGTCCCCATCCTACCAACCAACAGCAAGGACCCCAGACCACGCCCTCTCCCAGGGAGAGGCAGGCTGGGGCATGGGACACCACCCCCGGCCCCCGCCCTGGGCCCATTCAAGGTTTTAATGGCGAAGGTAGCGTTAAATCCCGCCAGGCCTGTCAAAGCAGTACTTAAAGGTGACGTTCAGTCCAGTTCGGTGTGTGGAAGGAATGTGGCGGCCGAGAGGAGGTGACAACTCTGCAAGCTCCGCATTCTCACTGCAGTGGGACACCTGAAAAAGCCCCAGCATGTCGTGGCGGTTTCCTCCTGTGCCGCAGAAGATACAGGAATGGAGGGAGGATGGATGGACGGATGGTGAACGGGTGGATGGATGGGTGGAAGGACGGACGGACGGATGGATGGATGGATGGATGGATGGATGGATGGACAGATGCACGGACGGATGGATGAGTAGATAGATGGATGGGTGGAAGGACGGACGGATGGATGGATGGATGGATGGATGGGTGGATGGATGGATGGATGGACGGATGGACGGACGGATGGATGAGTAGATAGATAGATGGGTGGGTGGATGGATGGATGGATGGATGGATGGATGGATGGATGGATGATGGATGGATGGGTGGATGGATGGGTGGGTGGATGGAGGATGGATGGATGGATGGATGAATGGATGGATAATGGTGGATGGGGAGATGGATGCGGGTGGTGAATAAATGGCAGGTGGATGGATGGGTGGGTGGGTACATGGACCATCCTGAGGGTGATTCTTATCAGAAAAAGAGGAAGGCAGAAACTCTGCTGCCCATTCCTGACTTCCTTCCCCGCAGAGAAGCCCCATTAACAAGACCTTCGGCTCCTCCACCCCGACTCTGACTGGTTCATCTGGGAGAATAGCTGAGCTCAGCCCCCACCTCTAGAAAGAGACAGTGTCCTCCGCTGTCCCCATGGGCAGCGGCCTGCCTGGCCGGTATTCCAGGGGTGGGGCAGGCACGTCTGTGATTCTGGGGTTCGGCCACAGTCCCACCCAGCCCTCTCGGTGAAGAGACACGCTTTCGCACCTTCCGGCTCTTGAACCC